CTTGTAAATTTTCGTTATAGATAACCATCTACAGCTACGGACGTAGGCTGCAAAACACAGGTCCGCCCAGCCTTTGGTCTCGACACACCAAGTATTTTTTAAAGACATTGTTATGAATGGGATTCGGATTGGGTAGGGACAGTAAAAATTTTTACTATTACACTCCAAAAAACGCAGGCGCTCCTTTTCTTTACCCGAGTCTGGGTCTATGACTTTTCAACTAAAACAGTAGAAAAAGGAAGTTAAACATAATCACACCCGTCCGTGCTTTGTTTACGATGGTTATATTTATGTACCGAAGTTTTGTAGCCGTCTTGACTCTTGCAAGAACAAAAGGAAGCTTAACACATATAACTGTAACGAAATTTTAGCCAGCACCACTGTCCTTTTTTTACCGCTTTGCAGACCACTTGTGCTTAGTTTCTATTAAAGGCACTGATATTTGTCTTTCCGGCCTCTGACACCAACCATTAGCCTCGTTGAAGTTAACGACCAATCGAATCGTTGATATGCTCGATTCTACCGCTAGCAATCACTTTACAGGTCGTTAGGGTTGTGAGGTGAAAACTGTCGATGTGGTAGGTATATGCAGTAACACGTAAAACGTTATGAACGTAATCCCGTGTAACTACGTGGTTTTGTCGGTTTTTTCATGTGTTACCTCTGTAAAGGCTTCAAGGTCAGGAGGTGGCTGTAAACAAAGTAGACAAAGGTAAAGAGGAGAGGTAAGTGGTCTCCATGTGTGTGTGTTGGTGTGTGTGTGTGTGTGTGTGTGTGTGTCGTTGGAAAGAGTAAACAAGGGAAATTTAGAGGACGGCCAGGACGTAGGGGAACGACGTGAACCTTTACTTGGCCGGGGGAGTATCACAGGGGACGTTTACCTGACGTCTTGTTGTGACTAAAGTAAACTACGGTTAATTACCACAATGTTGCCCGTCTAACGCTCAATCGCGTTTCGTTTATGACTCGCTGACTGTCTCGGTTAGTAGCTCGACGCAACGACTACTCAATTGACGTCATGGCAATACTTTTTTCAGTCGGAGTTAATTGCTTCGTTTACTCTTTCTGTACAAATATGTAGGCCACTCTTGCTAAAGTCTCTACTACGGGAAGAGGCTTGAAGTTATCGTCGACGGAATTCGAGAAAACATTACTGTAAATGCAAAAACGTAGTGGGGGTTTTAATGTCGTGAATAACCTTTTTTCCTTTGTATCTCGTACCCTAATAACACGTTTGCAAAGGTAGCTTTTATAGTTTCGTCTCATCCTACGCCATAACCTAGATTGTGTCCGCAGTATGAAATTTCCTTTTCAATCGTACTTCAATTTCTTACACGTTTGGTTGCTTTGTGAGATTACACAACAATGATGTTTGTTTCTACCGGAGTTCAGGTAGGTTACTTGTGCAGTTTCCGTTATGCACGTACAGGAGACCTCTGTTCGTGTGGTAGGACTGTACTGTTTGTCTCTGTACTGAGGTAGTTGCGTCGTCCAACTTCCGTCTCCCTCTTATTCTTACTCCTCTGCCCGGGGCCATGTATAACGAACGACGTGACAAGGAGCGCGTCAACATAAGCTGTAGTGGTCTGAAAGTAGATTATATTTCATAGGGAGCAAGCTTACGACCTCGTCGACACCGTGTCAGCTAATGCCTCTGACAGTAATTTGGTCTTCACCTTTATGAATTCCAAAATATTCCCTAATTCGAGGGTGTTGTTCCATTTCCGTGTAATAAAAGTATCATGTGCAGTATGTACAACTTCTATTGTTGTATGTTTTTTGTTAGTATTTCTCGTATACTTTATTTCTTATTCTTAAATTTAATCTATGTCGTTTTCTTGTATATCTCACGTAATGTCCCGATGGTGACCACGTGTGATAATATGTAGTTCAAACACTAAGGTCTTGGACTCGTCCGTGTCTCCGTTTTAGACGCAGTGGTACAATCAAGACGTTTCATCAATATGGTGTTGGTTAAAGAGGGTCATTAGATTCTCCGGATCGTTCACAGAACTCCTAATTCACTGCATCACCCGCCAATAAACAAAATTCATCTGGAGCATCGTCGCGTAAACCTTGTTCGCCTTTATTTCTAGATCTTAGTCTACAAACACTGTACGCGGAGCTCAAACCGTGTAATTCTACTAGTTTTAGGAATGAACGAAAATGTACAACAACCTTGACTGTCATTTGTTTATGTTGTTATTTAGTTAAGTAGTTCATCGTTGAACTGCAACTTTTAGGTAAATTTTTTTTTCTACCTGGTGGCTCCGCTCCTGAGTAAACAAAAAAAAAACATTAGATTTACTCTACTTTACTTTCTGTTTGATAACGTCGTTCAACTTAATAGTCCGTCGAAAAAAAAATACCACGTGGTGGTTGCTCCCTTGTTTTAACAGTAAAAGTCAAAAGGTAAAACCACACGGTCCTTTTGAGGGCGGGTCTTAGGTATATGTGAGACCCATTCTTCTGTGGATGTCCGAGTTATCATTTCATCTCTGTGCGGAAATACAACAAAGCATCCAGTTCAAACTTCAGTCTGGTGTTTTCTCATTGAAATCTTTGTGTCCATTTTCTCGACGGGTTAGAAAAAATGCAAAAATTGTGTTGTAGTGAACACGAATTAATAGATTCAATTAATTTCGTGACTATAACACAAAATGCCGTAAGACTGGGTTGGATATACACACTACATTACAAATATAAATGTGTTTCTTCACTGTTTAAGTAATGTCTCACTATTCGGGTTTCACAAATAAGACACGATTATTTTAAGGGGTTAACTTAGCAGTCTGTAATGATTTGGTACCACAAATGATTGTTGCTAGCTAGTTTGCTAAAGCTAACAGCAGATATCATCACTTCTGGTTAGGGAAAAGTGGCAGTGAGATTTTTAAAACAACATGGTCAAAATTAATGCACTGCATTAGTGTTCACAGTGCACGACAATCAGTGTACTAAGGGAAGTATTCAAATTGAGACACAGTGCAATGCAAAAACAATGACTTAGTTTTAGTCTTACTCACATAGAGTGACCTCTGTCTGCATGGGCATGGACAATGCCGGGTGCTTGACTTCGCAGCTGAACAGGGCATCATTATCCAGCTGCGGGTTGAGGGTCCAGGTGAGTCGGGCCTGGACCACCACAGAGCCGTCACTCTGGGGGATGTTAGTGTGGCTGAAGTAGTAGAGCGGGTCTGTGCTGTGCACCCAGCGGGGGAACTCCCGGCTCACCACTGTCTCTGGGATGACCTCTGTCGCAGGGCTGGGCTCGTTGGCCTGCTGGCCTTGAGTGTGGACACGCTGGGGGGTCTCTGTGTGCACACGGGGCACTCGCCCTTCGGGGTCCAGCAGGGAGAGGGAGCGCTGTAGTTTAGTGTCATCGAGGTCCCTGCTGATGAGCGGCCGTGCCCCTCTCACCCCAGCTGCGCCGCCACCCTCATTGGAGGTCTGAGTGTAGGAGATCACCTCTATCAGCTCGCCATCACGCTTAAAGTACACCTAGGACAGAGAGTGAAATAGAGGGACAAGACGACAGAGAGGTGAAAGAAGAAGGAAAAAATATGGAAAAAATATGTTAACGCAACTATGTATACAGGCTTCCTGGTAAATATATGTATATATCGACTGTATACTGTATAGTCCATGACACAGTATGCACTCTTCTTTTAGCTCTGTTTTAACTTCTTTGCAAGAGAGCACAACATTGCCTGAATAATAACCCATATAATTAGCAATGGCAAACTTTCCCATGTAGATATCCAATAGAAACAAAGAAAACCATTCATTTGAAGATCTGGTGCAAATGTCCATGTTATTCACTTTTCTTCAAAGTGGACCTATCATGCTATATTTGAATAATATATTGTAGGGCCATACCTATATAAAATAGGTCTGCAAAGTTTTTTTTTCAAAATACCAAAAAGAGATCATGCATTTTAGCCATGCCTCATTTTGCTCTATTTGCTCTTTTTTAGCCCTGTTTTTGCAAGGGCTGAATCTGAGAATCGTTTCTGACGTCAGGTAATTTAATGGATTTTTTTAAACCCAAAAATGCTGCCTGTATAACCAAAACCAAGAACTGAAAGACTGAAAAATGCTCCATAGAACTGAAGGGAATTGCACAGTGGGATGATCATTTGGTTTGACTTCTTGTCTGAAGGAGTGATATCTTCCAGATTCAATATCAATATGAATTCCTCTATAAGTGGAGCTTTAACAATGATTTTAGAATTGGTTCAACAGCTTTGTTATTGCCAGAGTAGCATGCTGCCAAGATATAACAGGAGTTTCACCAGTTCATAACCTCTCTGGGTGCCTAATCCCCTGACAGGGAATTATTTCTCTTATTTAAGCCCCAGATATGACCACAACATGAAGTTGTATAGTCACTGCTTGTTGAGATGCTATTCAGCAAACAGATGTTGTATTTGTTGTGTTGATCAAGGAAAGCAATCCTAATCTGGAGCTCTTTCAGAGACCTTTGCTCAATTGAATTGAATATGCCAAGGATCAAATAGTCATTATTGTCAACAGTGCATTACTAACTGTATGAGTAGATAGGGCCAAGTTATCTAGTTATCTCACACGCCAAATACAATTTTCATATTCACAACAGGGATGGAGTTTATAATCCTTGAACGACAATACAGTTTAACTTTGAATGTTTTTTTCTATAAAACATATTTGTATTTAAAGTTAGAATATGTATTTTTCAACAACAATACATTAAACTATGATCGTAGGTGAGTTTGTCTCCCACACACATAGACAGGCAGTATGAGAAGAATAAAGACCTTTTTGAACATTAAAGCATGTAAACATGTCACACTAGAGCCACACAATACAAATATCAACCTGCACATTAGTATAATATGTCCTCTTTTAATTTGAATGTAATAATACAATGAAAACATTTCAATTTAAGTGTTCCGCACCTAAATACATCATCTATTATAAATGGTTCTGTAATATATTCAAAATGAACAAATAGTATTGTTTTCAATGAACAAAGCCAGTAAGCCTTTTAAATGTAATTCAATGTAACAATAAATTCATCTTCTTTACTTAAATATGAACTTTCTAAAACATTGATAAATCACAGCTGTCCTCTCAGCAGTCTGTGTGGGCTGAGGTTATTTTAGTGAAGACAGATGCCACATCATTATATTACAAGCTGTGACATGCTGCTGTTGTATCCAAGTATTTATAGCCAACTCTAAAAACGTTCTAATGGCTGCCATCAGAGAAGGCTAGTACACACCAACAGTGACCTTGCTCAAAGGTATTCAGCAGTACAGGTTATTGTTGTTTAAAAGTGACCAACAAGCAAAGAACATATACTTTGTCAACAACCTGCCGCTGAGTTCTGTGAGTCTTAAGCTGCACTCTATCCCCATCTACCTGCACCACACTTCCAGTACATAGGCAGTGTTCAAACAAGCTTTTCTTTCCAACTTTATCATGCTATTTATTTCTGTAAAGGTTAATGTACCGCAGCACTTAATTATTTCAATAGATTTTCAATACGTTTAATGTGATATTTAACTAGAGGTAAGCCACATTTGAGTAGTTGCAGTTCTCTTTTTAAATCCAGTCTATGAAGTCTGATAGCAAATTGTTCGAGCAATTCTGACATTAGTGTAATATGTTCTTAAAAGATGACTAATGACTACGCCTTCAAGTACAACCTTTAATTAGTGCATAATTCCAATATTGTGTTGTAAAAAAAGAAGAAAGAAACCTCCTCAAAAGGGTATTCAAGTTCACTGGAAAAATAAGTATGAGCTATTACTCTCCAGATATAGGTTCATTTAAAATGAAGATTTGGTGGAAAACAGTCCTCTAAACGTGTGAATGAACACAAGCTTATTTATCGCAGCCCAGCATAGCGTATAAGGCACATTTACAAATTAAGTTACACGGCATTCAATAGAGTGCCACACTGCCACAGTGACGCGTCCTAAAACCCGGAAGCAAGTTAGCATTTTACCACTTCTGGTTCGTTCGACAAAAAAGCAATGCAATTTCTCCATAGGATTTTGGAAAATAGCTCGAAATAAGGTCTGTGTTTGACACAAATTGAAGAGACGGATCACGTTTTGTTCTACCACATTAAATACATCAGCAGTTACCCCACTGGTGATTTCTGACAGAAATCACCAGTGGGGTAACTGCTGATGTATTTAATGTGGTAGAACAAAACGTGATCCGTCTCTTCAATTTGTGTCAAACACAGACCTTATTTCGAGNTGGAGATGAGGAGGTGTCGGCGTTCTGGCCGTTTACTCGGAAGGCTTCAGTAGAAGCTGCTGGGAGTCCCAGCAGTGAAGTTGTTTGCGGCCTGCCAGTAAACCCAAAGCAGCAGCAGCAGCAGAAGAAGAAGAAGTGACGTCAGCGGCTTCATTTGCCTAATCCACCCCCAGGAACTAATTTCCGGTGTGAACGCGATCTGTACTTAGTTCATGAGAACTAAAGAGTTCTCAGGAACCTTTGTGGGAAAAGTACTTGGTGTGAACGCGCCTTTTGTTATATTTTCTTCACTTTTTGCATTTTCTGAAATATTTGTTTAGGCTTATCCGACTAAGTAAAATACAGTACTCTGGTAACTTAGTGCACGTTCCTAATGCCATTTTATTAAATGTACACTGTTAATGAAATAAACACCTAGTGAAAGTACAACAACTGCAACATTCATGATATGGAGATACAATTATCTTAGGTATCTATCTTGTATTTTGCAGATTGTGTAACTTGCTGCTGTTAAATACCGTCAAACTATGTGCAATATGTGATTTATGTGAAATATATACTTTATATACCTATGCCATCTTTAATAACTGTAATATATACCGGGCTGCTAAATCCTAAGAACTGCTAAAGGATTTGATTTGTAGATTTGATTTGTTTTTGATCTGTATTTTTGAAAATTATGTAACTTTTTTTTTAGTTTTAATCTTTTTTTTTTGCATATTGTTTATTATATTATAACTTGGTACTTTTTAGCATATTGTTGTGTTGTTTGTTTATTATATTCTAACTTAGTACTTTTTTTTAAAACGCATTTAAGATATGCAACACTTAGCTGTCTGTGGCTCTTTCCTGCTGTAACGCTGCAAATTTCCCCTCTGTGGGACTAATAAAGGTATTCTGATTCTGATTAAAGAATGCCAAAATAATAAACCAACAAGCATGTTGAAGTTGCTCTGATTTAGTCCTTGCGTACTACATACATTTAAACTACAGAGTATATTTGCCATGTGTAGAGTACAACTTGTCCTGAGGAGATTGGAAACGCACACCTTTGGATCAGTTTAGTTTGGCTTGCTGTAGCGGTGCTAAACACCCCTCTCCATTTCACTCACTTTTTTTGTCCACTGGCGCTCTTGGCTCAGCCTCAGTTGTCGGTCACAGGGTGTGTGGAGGTCAAAGACGTCGACTCTGACTCTGGAGTTTACACTCCGGAAGAGCACTTTCCCAAGCTCTCGCCTTGCTTGGCTCCCCCGGGGATTGGCGGGTGAATTATAAAAATGTGTTTCTGTGCAGGCATGCAGGGGAGCAGGGATGGGACGGGGGAGCTCTGCTGGGAATTTTCATGCGGAACCCTTAAAAGTGAAGGGGGGGAAACAGGAAGGAGAAGGAGAGGAGAGGATTTGGGCTTGGAGCTCAGCTCAGAGACTGTGGCTTGGAGGAGAAATCTGATCCGGGGCCCAGAGAATAATGTTAGTGTGCTGAAGAAGGCAGGTTATTGTTGAAAGGATCTGTAGGTCCACTCAATGCTGCACATAAACTGTGGCTGAGCCTGTTTTACAGAGAAAAGGTTTAACCATTAGGCTCAAAAATCCCACATTGTCTTTCAGCACAATGTAATATCAGATGCTGTAAATACTGCTCGCTGTTGGGAGCCTTTTTTTCCCCTGTGAATGATGGTGTATTAAATGACACTTCCTCCAGTGTAAAACCCAGGCCCTTTGGGAGTTGTTAGCAGCAGAGACAGGTATTGTCTGAGGTGTACAACATGCCATGTCTGTCTCCTGTGTTAAACGGCACAATGAAACAAAATACAGCTTTGGCTGCAGACGTGTGTGTGTGTGTGTGTGTGTTGTGTGTGTGTTGTGTGTGTGTGTTGTGTGTGTTGTGTGTGTTGTGTGTGTGTGTTGTGTGTGTGTGTGTGTGTGTGTGTGTGTGTGTGTGTGTGTGTGTGTGTGTGTGTGTGTGTGTGTGTGTGTGTGTGTGTCTCCTGGCATATTACCTGGGGCTGTTTATGAATTACCTCATACATTGAAATTAATCACAGTCTGCCAAGCAGCGAGGCTCAATGCCAGGAAGAGCTCCATGGCTTCTTTTGTTTGGCAAGTTTTACCGTCAATGGCCTTACTTACTCTGTCAGTGTTGATTTATTCTTGCGGCACAGTGCTCCAACCGCAGGTGCATTTACACCAAGGTCTTGTTTCGTGCTGCCAGATGAGCCAGTGGTGTGCGCTAATTTGTCTTTGGAAGGAAGGGAGCAGAATACAGAAAAAATGAAAGGGATAGCAGTCTTTCTTGAATCAGGGTTAATTCTTCTACTCAATTTTGACCGGTAAATATCTTCAACATTGTCATTTAGTGTGTAAGCATGCTTATAATTCTTATTTGGAAATGAAGAGCTATTCATCTAATAGTTTCCAGACATTACACTCAAAATCAAAAATTACAACTTCATTATGGCACTATAGGAATAGTCGGGGATCATCAAAGTTGTTAGAATAAATCATGTGAATGTTGACATGTCGTGTAAATAATGCTTGACCGGACGACTAGAAAGGCAATAAGGTTTTTTCACCATTGGACCAACCAGTCACCAGTCACTAAAGCATTGAATAGAGAACAAATATCCGTAGAAATGTTCATAACTATCCGTCCAATAGTTGTTTTGGGGGGATTTGGGATCAAAAGTGTTAGTTTGTTTGAGCTACTTACTGATTGACGTCCTCCATCCCTTTAGCCTGTGCTTACACGGTTTAATACATCATCGATATAAGGAATATAATATGACAGCGCACTAAGTAGCAACACATTTTCAAATAAGCCATTTAGTATCACTTAGCCCCTAGATGTTGCTAAAGCTAGTGTAGTGTTTCAGCTGCAAATACCAAATGTTTGCATTTCACAGAAGCAATATTGGATGTGGTGGTGTAGACCGAAGTGAGAGCTGGTTAAAAGCCGGCAGTGGGATGTGTTGGCACGGACACTGGTCTGTGGAGCCAGCGGGGTAATTGGGAGCAGACTGGGGATGAGTCAGGGTCTCTGCTGATGGGAGCTCTCTGTCTGTGGGGAGGAGGAGCTGACGTGTCTGTGGGAGTCTCCGGACAGATGCTCCGACTCTGCAAAGAGACGTAACACGACACCCTCACCCAGATGGGGGGATAGAGAGAGAGAGAGAGATTTGTTTGCTCTGCCTCCAAGACAGATCCATCCTCCTCCTCCACTTCTGTCTCTCTTCTCATTGTGATGATTGTGTCCTTTTCTCTGGTACATAGGCTTCTCTTCTCTCCATTGAGCTAGTTAAGGCCTCTTTGTATTTGTTGGCGAACGGTAAGAGCAATTGTTGAGATGGAAGAATTCATTTCCAATTTTCCACTAGGTCAGTCCAGCTTTAAAAAAAACTCCTCTGTGCTTTGAAAAAAGCACATATCTTTTTCAATTATCCACTTCATTTCCACCTCTTATCAGGCCAACGGTGTCAAAGGCTCCCCGTTCAAACTTGTATTTCTAGAAGGGCTTATCACTTTGAAGACTTTAGGGCATCATTAGCTTGCAAGTCACACCATTTTGCAGTCAGTGGAATGTGGAATGTGGAATGGAAGCCACAAACTCCAAAGGAAAAGGGAGACCTCTCTTTAAAAGCCTGTGGTTAAACAGTTACGGGGTGGTCATTTGTAAACTCTGACAGGTGGAGCGAGTGAGAAGGACTTTTTTTGGAGGATTTTGCTGAGTTCGTATGGCGCTTTCCTTCCTTTTCCTGCTTTTCTGACCTTGTGGTAGTAGGCTGTCTCATTTATCAACTTCATACTCAAGCTCGTACTGTACGGGGCGAGTTCTTAAGCAAGAAAACTTGCCTTGCAAAAAGTTTGATGACTTAATTTCAGTAGGAACAGCCGGTCAGTTTAATCCAACTTCCTGCAAGTCTCACCACACTTCCTGTCAGTTTGTGTGCACAAACACAAACAAACAAACAAGAAAATAACTATTCATTTCATGGATAAGAAACCTCCTAAATGCTGTACATACTGTCTCTTGGTTGTGTCTGTGCACCATAATTACATCCATAGTGGCTTCCTCTGTGGCCCTTGTTATAATTAAGGTTTGTTTATACATTTTCTGAGATAATATTGTTACCCATTCTTCCAGCTCTCAGCGGGATACAATGTAGACACCCAGGCCATCAGAGTCTCAGTTATAAGCAACAACCACAATAACAAGAAGTGCCATATGCGGGACTTTAGAATTACAACAATGTGTTATATTAAGCATAGATTGATAAGAAAAAATACATGCAGGGAGAAGTGAATTGTTTGCGGTATCCCCCGTCAGTTCCTGTCTGGTTCTGTTGCTAACCCAGTTTCTATGCTGTCTCACATCCATCCTCTGCTAACAATGGAGGGATCACGGGGGGAGACGTGGAGGGGCAAGAGGACACAGCTCAGCAGGGCAGGAGGACTATCATTACATTTGGACAGGACACTGGGAAGCAGTATAGCTGGTGCATGTTCTGTATATGTGTGCGTTTGCCCCTGAAGGCCAGCTGATACGCATCTGTACCACTGTACTTCACACAGCGCAGATCCCTGTGGTCTGTGGTCGGATACAGAACGGGAAGATAAGGGTGGAAAAGTAATGTCTGTGAAAGTAGGGAGATACAAAGAAGGAGATGAGAGAAAGGTTAACATGGCATGCAAGGAAATTGATAAATTCAATGAGTCCGGCTTCTAGGATTGTAAAGCTGTTTCTGGCTGTCAATCACATACACACACAGATACACACACGTAGTCATGGATTTGGCCTGTTTGGCTCATATCCAAGACCTTGCTATGAAATCAGCTTGGGAAAGCAACAGGGGCCCTGAACAGGACTCAGAGACAGAAACAGAGAGAAAAAAGAGAGAGGGAGAGACTGCCGAGCCCAGATAAAAGTCCTTTGTTTATTTGCCCGTCCCTCTCCTTAACTCTTCCTCACCATACATCCTTTCCTTTACCATCAACCCTTCCTATTCTACTTTTTCAGGGGCCAGTCAGAATGTCGGTCATTGTGAAATCCCCATATCACTCAAACCAAACACTTTGTCAGATCTGTCAACCCGGAAGTGCTAAAAAATAATTGGTTTTACATAAATACTTTCTGCTCCAGGTCTGCAGAAGGCAAGACACGCTGCATATAAAAGTATGAAAGGGAACGAAAGGTTGAAAGGATTAAAAACAGTGCCCCACCATCACTCCCTCCTCCATCTGACTTGTTCCTGCAACGCCATGACAGAATGGGAATGAAAGAGAGAGAATGAAAGGGAGAAATAAAGAGTGAAAGACGGTGGGGAGGAAAAAAGCAGCCAACTTTGCCATTCCAGAAAGAGCAGGCTAAATGTGCAGTAGTGCGTCAAATTAATTGCAGGCAGGGCTTTGGCACATGTGAGCCACATCTTCCAGGGGATAGGGTCCTCGACTCAGCGTGGGTGCGGAAAGAAAAAGAACAAAATAAATAATCTTCCCTTCGCAGTGTATTATTCCCGTTTTGAGCTATCGTGTTCTCTACTTTCTGTAAAAGGATGAGAAGCGGTTAGGGGGCTGCCTCTCTTTGGTTTTCTTCTGTATTCTGTGTGACTGCATGTGCTGATAACTGTGAAATGCAGTGTGGGCCGCGAGCAACTTTGCCCTTTTTAGGTATTTCGAAATGACGGAGAGAAAAAAGAGAGCAGTTTGGGGAAGAACAAGCGAGGGATGGTGATGTCATGGTGTTAGCTTTTTGGCTGGACAGAGGGATGGAGGGACACAGTGATAGAGGGAGGATGAAATCTTAATGAGAAGCAGCTGTTGGGGAGAGGCTGGCCTCCAGAGTGCTGTAGCAGCAGCCAGCAAACAGCCAGCAAACAGCCAGCAAACAGCCTGCAAACAGTCAGCAAACAGCCAACAAACAGTCAGCAAACAGCCAGCAAACAGCCAGCAAACAGACAGCAAACAGACAGCAAACAGCCAGCAAACAGCCAGCAAACAGCCAGCAAACAGCCAAGCAAACAGCCAGCAAACAGCAGCAAACAGCAAACAGCCAGCAAACAGCCAGCCAGCAAACAGCCAGCAAACGGCTAGTCAGCAAACAGCCGGCAAACAGTCAGCAAACAGCCGGCAAACAGCCTGCAAACAGTCAGCAAACAGCCAGCAAACAGCCTGCAAACAGTCAGCAAACAGCCTGCAAACAGTCAGCAGCAAACAGCCAGCAAACAGCCAGCCAGCAAACAGCCAGCAAACAGCCAGCAAACAGCCTGCTGACAACAACCCAGAGGATGATAAAGCTAGGAAACTCTGACAGCACCATCTCCATACTGTGTGATAAAGCTACAACTCTACAGCAATAGTTGGTGTGATTATCATCAACAGTCAACACCTAAAGATACAAAGAGATCAACAACAAAGAAATCAACCAAAAAGGCAGGGGTATTGTCTAAAATCAATTTAGACAATATCCCTGTCTAAATGATGTTGACCAACTCATAACTGCCCCATCTTGAAGAACAACTCACTTGAAAAAAAAATGTGGTGTGTGTGTGCAAATGTGTGTGTCATCACATTGCCATTGAATGAGTCCAGGCTGATTTATTTTTATTCAACATCTTGTGAGTTCACTGTAAAACAGATAAGCCAAGTGTAATATATTAGGGGGTCTGCATGCTGCTGAGTCATCTATGTGCTGGCCAATATACTGTACACAAATGTGCCAAGTCTTTGTGAGTCAGGGATTCATTTACAACTCTATGACTAGATCAAGGTCAGTCTTTAGTATGTAGCTCACACAGGGTGCCAGATGTGTGGAGTTCGGAGTCAATGTAGTTGCCTGTTCTGTCGAGAGGTGACCAAATGCAGATCTGACATCTGGGGGATAATTAGTCTGTGAGCCAATCGGAAAAAACATAGGGTCCCTATACAGTATGTGTATAATTGACAGTTATCATTATCATCTGCTTAAATGGCTTTTCAGAATCAAATGATGATTATTTGTGAATATTTGAACTTGGTATCTCAGATCTGTTTCTTTTGCTTAACAGAACTTACCAGGAAATGTTGTTTCTTTTGTCGTACCAGATGCATGGCTCCTAATAATAATAATAATAATAATAATAATAATAAATTCGATTTATAAAGCACCTTTCATTGCTCACAGCAATCCCAAGGTGCTACTGGAGGCACAACATAGGCTCCTCTACTACTAGCATTGTCATTCAATTGGGCTGATTGTTTTTTCATCCCTTTGTTCTAATGTGTTGTTGATATTCTGTCTCCTCATCCTTTGCTCAATGACCGGAAGCCTCTGAGGCTGATAATAACATTAGCCTATTAGTAATGTAAAGTTACACTTTAGCACGAATAAATGCTGGGCCAGCCGTGCTGTTAAACCTGATGGAGAAGCTATTCCTATATCTACAAAAGGTTGATCAGATTCTGAAACATTTCACACTCACTGCACACAGCTCTTAGCAAAAGGCCATTTGTTACAGAAGCCTATCAACAAAGGTAAGAAAATGTAATGCTGATAGGTTTCATAATAACCACTGTATGAAGATCAGCCCATTTGATACAGCTACTGTACAGTCCTCCCAGTGTTAACCTCAGGTCAAAGGTTGCACAGTGACAGTTTGCCACGCATGCGATACAAATACCACAGTTGTCTCCAGTCAGTATCACACTTGCTCACATATAAACCCTTCAATGGTTCCCTTGCTCCACTTTCCACTTTGCTGTACATTTCTAGAACAGGTGTTGACCCTTGATAACTGAAATTGTAATAATTGCAGTGCTATGGTTCATCCAATAGTCCCCAAATAAACAACAGCATCCCTCTCTCAGTGGTTTATACGAGTACATGTTTATAAGAAGAATCGGTCTGTATCCATCCGCAGATAGAAATCTTCCTCAGTGTTTGTTATGTAGCTGATGCTTGGCTCTGATGGCCTGCCTCTGACCCTGAGTGCTGCTATCTCTAAAGGCCTCAAGGCATTTAAGATTGTGTGCTGTTCCCTGAGCACCAATCTTTTATGATTTAAGTCCAGGAATGGAGGTCATCCTTCAAGGAATATATTGGTGTTTTCTTAATGGTCATTAGGGAGTCATTGTTGAATCCCAACGACATTCAACAGGTGTATTTCAGGTCTAATTGAAAAGGTATGAATGTCTTTGAATATGAGTTATTTCCATTCCAACACACTCTCCACCGCCACCTTCTTCACCCAGCTGCTGAACAATACCACTTCCTCTGTCCACGTTCTGTCACACCTCACAGGCCTGGGGCTGAGGGGGGGGGGCAGTTTCCCTGTGATGTTTTTATTGGCCTCAGCAGATGGCTTCCCTCAGCCTCTGCTTTGTTATGGTGGCCATCTTGCTCTGAGGGTCAGGGTTAACAATAGTTGCCAATAGCTGTAGGACACAAAAGCTTTCGCTGCTCCCCAAAAAAAGAGTTTCCTCAGTTACCAAACGCTGTAAAACTAACAATGCTGTACAATTTAGTGCTTTTACGAGATGCCAGGACTCTAACGCTTGTCAGGTTCTGGCACAATTGGGGAATCCTTGTCTTGTATGAGTCAAGTTTGGGATGTTTTCAAGCCGAGTAAGTCAGATTTTTGTAGAAATACCAAATAACCTTTTAAACACCAGCTTCTACACTGAATAGCCTTGGGGCTGCACACAATGAAATGGGACAGCCTAAAAGCCTTCCCTATTTTCACAGTGCAACAGTATACTTATATTATTCTTTGCAATATCCACTTTCCTCTTTAGCTTTGACAACCCCTGTCTCCCCAACCCCCCCCCCTCTCCTCTTCGATGTGCTCTATCTCACTTCATATCGTCCATCTTTCCTCTACCCCCGTGATATCCAAAACCCTTCCCAACCTAGAGAAAAATGTAACTGTAAAACTAGGAGGCTCTATACATTCTTTACAGCCCCCCCCGTCCCCGTCCCATGCAGGATTTCTGTTCTTCATTTCTGTGTTGGCTTTTAGTAAGGAGAAAAGAATCAAGAGGGGGAGGACGGGTAAAAAATTGGTTGATGTTTCCCCTCAAACATGTGACCTCTGCTCGGCTCACAGCTGAAAATAATTTGGCCGGTGGACGTCTGACGCAAACCCTCCCCCTCCTTTTGATGGGGTGGGGGCTAAAGACAAAGCAATTGATGGATGTAAGTTGAGCAAAAAGAAGTTGAAAAATGAACCATTGTACTTTAAGTAGACATCTTGTCAGACGAGACCACAGCTTTTCCGCCGTGTCCATTTGTTCTTTCATTCTGCAAGAGAGAAAAAAAAAAGGAAAAGCCCAGAGCCGTTCCAAAACACTGGACCCAGAGGGCCAATTATGTTGTTAACTCAGGGAAGAGTTCAGCTATTTGGCTGCATTTTTCTACGTAATCTTCTGAAATTGTGGCATTTCATCTGACTGCCAGTTGGGACAACAATTTGTGGAATTTGGCTGAAAAAGGCTCACATTTCCTCCATAGTCAGGGGGCAAGGGAGAGAAGTGTCAAAGTTAGCTAATGCAGGTTTATTGGGAGAGGATTGAAGGGGGGGGGATTGGGCCCAGCCGTGCTCAGGAAATGTTTAACGGCCTACGGATACCCTAAAGTATCCCAGCACATCTGGTCTAATTCACACACATCACTGAGTTGGTCTGCAGTCAGGACTTTTTGGCGGGATGTGGGATCTATAGGTGTATTATTATATGAGGTGTTTTTGTGTGTGGGTATGCAGCCGGGTGGCAAAGCATGTATCGGTGTCTCTGTGAATTTACTTAAGAACACATGTGAATATCTGCCAACAGAAGTTAACCCTGACCCCCCCCCTCTCTAACGTTAACCACATCTGTGTCAGACTGATGCTAGGCCCATGCCAACCCTCCACCATCTTTAGGGCCAAGTCACGTGCCTTTTGCTAGCGGCTCTCATTCAATGGTTACTTACGGATAGTCTTGCAATGGCTCCAAGTGGATCTGGTTTTATGATATGCTGACAAATGGACCGAATAATAAGTTCCCCCCTCAAAGTCGCCTTGGCACCATTTGTCCTAATGAAGAACAGAGGGAAATGTGCAGTGCTGGAAGACTTTAAGGAAGTGATATCCTAAAATGAAAGGAGTTTGCGGAGAGGATCCGAAGTGCAACGTCTGCGCAGTACTTAAAATCACTTCTGACGAGTACGAAAAGCCTGAGTGATAACCTTTAAAAAGTTTAACTCAGTGCCCTTCTTTGTCTTCTAGTTGCCAGTGATGTTTTTCTAATGGGCCTTGTTACAATGTGTTTTTAGTACATTCCATACTGCTGGGGTTTACGCGCTTGCAATTGTTAAAGTTTTGTTTTCATCTGTTTCCTCCAATTCTATCAAGTGTGGGGGTTTTTTGTGCCAGTTTTGGGGTGATGGCGTGCAACCTGTGAGGTCTGAGTTTTTCTAGCCAGAGAAATGATAGGTTTGAGCCTTTTTGGTAGTTTACATTCACACACTATAGTTAGATTTGTTTTCTAACCCTAAGGGACTACTGTGGGAGCAGCTCTTCTTTTCACTTAGATTTCATTTGTCTGAATATCAACCTGTTTTTAAGTATCATCTGCATAGGTACAAAATACATTATTTCCAACTCTCCTGTAACAGTTTGACTTTTAAATGTTTGTGTTTGCAACCTACAAACTGAGATATTGGTCTGTTTTGCATTCTCATTTGTTTAGAGAAACTTTTACCATCCACACAATGCATTTAACACTTCAAATAAATATATTGTGCTTACTGTCGGTGTCTTTCTCTGTGTGCAGGATGCCAGCTGCTAGCACCATGACCGGAGGGAGGGCCCTGCTGCTCTGCACAAACACTGACAACTGTATCTACCAATCAGTCAACGGGTAGGTGCCTCAAAAGACAATCAAATATTTCAATCATTTCTGATTCAGTAGTTGAAATAATCACAGTCCAACATATCAGTGCTATGACCAATACTATGGGGATGTCTCTTTTTGGAAATGATTAAAGTTCCTTTGAATCAGGTTTTCATAGCCACCACTTAGAGTGAAGCTTTTTTAAACATCAGTCTCTCATTGCCATAATTACTGATTCTTCTAAAAATGAGACAATGGTCTAGACAGAAAGAATCCTTGCAGCACTGGCTGGTATTTCTATTGTTTCTGTTTTATTTTGTGAGATTCTCCTTGCTGTTGCTTACCATTGCAATTATTTTATTTTTAAACTTGAGAGAGAGCAACAGTTCCTCCTGATTTATACCAAAATGTTATCCAGCGATATGCAAGGAAATAAAATCAGTTAGTGGAGTAGGAAAGTGGTGGTCTTTATTTGTTTATACTGTAGTAAGAATGCAAGGTTATATCGGATTTGTTAAAGTATAAGTCCTATCCAATTTATATATTGACCAGATGACTTACGGTTTACGCATTTGCTAAAGTTGGATGAAATGATCATCAACAAGCATAAATGCTTATACTAAACTGATACAAAAAATCATAGGATTTTGATGCCGTCTCTCATTCCAAGTTGTCCACAGACATGCAAGACATGAAGATGAAGCCATATATACTTACTGTATTATATCTATCTATTATACCTTTTGCTTTTAGTTGGAAACTAGCAGATGTTCAGAGTGTTGCTTGGGCCTACATATCCCTTTTCCCATCCTGAAGCTCTGTACTGCTCTGAGGCAGGCTGGAGACTCCCCTCTCCATGCGGGTCAGCAACATAACAATAGCAGGGCAGGAGTGCAGGGCAGAATTAGCCATCTGGCATCTAGTTACTGTTCCTGCCCCTCCCCCCCTGCTGCCACTGTCTCATGCCTCTTTGACCACTCTCCATAGTCCCTTCTGTCATCCTTGCAATATTCATTAGTTCTATTTTAATGAAAATGAGGGGATTTTGTTTGTGACAATAACAGGGATTGTGGGAGGTTTTAATGTCTGTAGTTTTGTCTGTACCCTTGCTCATATGTTCTGTACATTTATCCCTGGAAATAGTCAAAAATGGATTTGCCGGAACATTAAAATACTCTTTATCTCTGTTATATTGTCCTCCCCATTTCCAACCCTTTCTCATATCCTCTGATCCCGTGTTAGCTCAGCTGGTTGGAGAAGATTGTGTGTCCTTGTATCTCCTTCCGCCCTCAATAACACTCATCTTCATGTTCCACCCATACTTTCTGTCCCTCAATCTCTCTTTGTCTCTTAATCACAATCAAGTGTTTTTTGAGACAAAGTGAAAAACATTATTAATTTCCTCCTCCATCTGCTCGTATTTTTCTTTAACTCCTTCGCTACACAAGCCCCCTTTCCTTTAGCCTGCTTTTTATTTGACCTAGTTTTTTTTACAATCTGTTGCTTCATGCTTAATAAGAACCGCTGTTTCAACCGAGGTACTCAAAAGGAAAAATAAAGGGGAAGAGAGGTCAAGACAATAAAACCCAGAGCAATTTAAAAGAAAATTACTTGGTTTCCTTGTCGGCCATAGTTACAACGTGTTTTTTTCCCCTTGTTTTAAGGGTCTCTGAGGAAACTTGAATTAGTCATTTCCCCCTGAGATTTCCTCTAGATTGTATGACTGTTGGTTTTCACATCCAGCAATGTCATCAGAAGTCACCAAGGCCGCGTTTCCTCTGTTTGTTGGAAATTCAATCATTTGATGAATGGTCTTGGGGCCAAAAAAGAAAGTTTTGAGCAGTAGAGAAGCAAACATGCACGTCTGCACTTCTGCCTCTTCCCTCGTCTGTGTATACATTCATCTCTTCTCCAGAAATAGCTGTGTGCGTAGCTTGTAAACTTTGACCCCGAAACCCAGAGTTCAAACAGCCGTGACCCAGTAATCTTCCAGGAGTGACTCACAGCGAAAACAGAGGCACCAAACAGCCGTCTGAGCCCTCTTTACAAGAATTCTTGTTTGCCTCATAAAACAAAGATCTATTTGGACTTAATTGTAAGTGCTTGCGTTGTGCAGCCAATTTAAAGAGCTATGGGGAGCACGGTTCTTAGCTGTGTACACTGAAGGCAGCACGTTACATTTCTATGGAAATAATTGCACTATAAATGATTAGAGTTGACAACAGTTCAATTTACTTTCTCAGCCTGTTTATCCAGTGTGAATAAGTGCAGATGTGGTAAGCAATGCCCGTTGCTAAGAGAAGACTCTTTTCAAACGTTTTCTGTTTGAGATTATTTTTGGTACGTTTCCCCCTTTCATTCTGCGTACATGAATAACTTGAATATTTGAAATATGCCTCAGTGCCTTACTGCGAAATTGACCATTCAAGAAAGCTTCAATACTGTATATTGATTTAAGAGGATGAAATCACATATTTTCCTACCAATTATAAATAATGACGTCAAGCAACATTTCTGTTAGACTATTAAGCTAAGGTTCGTCTGAATTGTTTAATTATTGATGTATGGCAATCTGTATTTCAGCTAGGTTTTCAGATCCTACTCTGTCGTCCTGGTACTACTAACTACTCTGCTTTCAAGCAATAATGTATTGAATTGCTTGCATTTAATTTACATATATATATTTTTTATTGTAGAGGCCAGTAAGCATTTTTAGAGGGACCCAATTTGCTACTTTAAAGACATCTTGATTTTTTGTATTAATGCTTACTATCAACGCATCAGAGAGTTGTATGTTTATTTTATAAGTTATAAAAGAATAACGTTTTATTCTAATACACAATGTTTTTTGACACATGAAAACAGAACCATACATCTACATGTCTATCCTTCTGTTTTGTGTTGCCTCTGTCTATCATTGAAATACTTTCTTGTGGGTTCATGTTGGCTGGGCAGCTTTTTGGTGAACATGTATGAAACTTGTGGTTTGCCTTCAACTCTTGTTAGCAAGTATGTCGAGTATGTCTGTTGACTTTTCTGTGTGTGGTTCTTCTCCAGGCTCCAGTGCTGTGGTCTGAAGGTCGGGGAGGCTCCGTCGTCTGCGGTGCCCCAGCGCCAAGAGGTGTGCGGGTCGCCGGGGGACAGAGACAGGAGGGAGACCGCTGTGTCCACCAAGCGTCCCCTCTCCCCCTTACTCAGCCCTCCTGACGGCCCTCCTGACACCATGTTGGCTCACAGGAGAGCCACCGACCCGCGGACTCCCAACATGGAGAACGGGCTGTGTGGGAAGCTGAACAACAACAAGAGCCCGGCAGCAGCCAAGACGGCCAGCATCAGAGATAAGATCTCACAATGGGAGGGCAAAAAGGAGACTGCCCCGTCTTCTACAGGGACATGTCCTCTGATCACGGCAGAGAAGGAAGTTGAGACGGTGAGGAAAAAGGAACCTAAAGCTTCAGAAGTCCAAAGGACAGATAGCAAGAGGTTTGTTAGTTGGGACAGACCGGACTCAGGGAAGGAAAATGTTGGAAAGCTGGCGGATTTGAGGCCTAAATCTCCAGACGGCCCATCAAAGGAGAAGGAAGTGATCTTAGAGAGGGGATTTCGGGCCTCAAAACCAACGGAACAACCTAAGGACAAGAAAAGTGTTTTAACTCATGTTAAGAAACTGGAGAAGGCAACAAAGGATGTTCCTCACAGACCTTCACTGGCATTTCCAGGGAATTACTTCTGCCCTCCTTCAAAGGAGGAGCAGGAGGAATCAGAAAAGAGGGTCGGCGAGCCCATTTTTGGGACTTTGGAGGTTGTTCGTCCTGGCAGCTCGCGGAGGAAGAGGGAGGGGGATCCAGAGAACTTGTACAGTGAGCCAGGTGCTCCATCTATAAACCCTCTACCTAAACCTCAGAGGACCTTCCAGCATCACACCCCTCCCACAACCCCAACTTCAGGCCTCGGCTTGGGGAAGGGAAGGAGGAACTTGCCCCCTTTGCCCTCCATTCCTCCTCCCCCTTTACCCACGTGCCCCCCACCTGGAGTGTGCAGGAGAACCTGGTCAGACAAAGCCCGGGACAGTAATAACAGGTAGGGAATAAGAAGATGAAAACAGTTGTTTGCTCGCTACTTGGCCAACACATGCATTTTTGCTCAGGCTTAGTATTTGCATGAGTTTTTTTATAAGTAGAAAACACAAGACTGTATAAATAAAACCTATGATGAACGAGTTGTGAGAGATTTGTTGAAAAAACGAATTTCTCCTATAGTTCTATTGTTGAATGCAGCCTCCATTCACTTTAATGATTGAATAACTTCTCTATGGAAACGTACGGGGATATACCTAGAGAAACTAGTTATTCATACCCAGCTAGAAATGTTTGGTTCTAAAAACACTGGAGGGACCCAGAGTCAGATTCGGAATCAGTTGGTGAAAGTAACATTTGTTTATTAGAAAAGGGGAGCTGGGATTGTAGGTTGGTTATGGTAGCAGTGGGAAACAGTTGTTCCAGGGTGGAGAGGCCTGTCTGGTCTTTGGAGTGTGGAAGGCCTTGGATTCCTCCTGGGAGAGACACAAAAATGAGTGTGAGGCAAAGTTGTCAAAGGATATGCTGGCAAAAAGCTAGAGCGGCACGCAACAAACCGTTCACGGCAACAATCCGGCAGGGAATGAGTGCAGGCTGCAGGCTTTCATAGTGTGGCTGATGAGCAGGTTGCAGGTGTGGTTGATTGGAGATTGCTCCCAGCCGTGTCGAGCAGACCAGCAGGCAGAGAGAGAGACACACAGTAGAAACAAACACATAAAAACACTAACAGGGGTTTCAGGGACGGGCAGTGACAGTCGGTCCGTTCCTCTATATGTCTGTCGGTCTCAAATCTAAAGGGTGCAATAACGATTTGTTTCCAATATGCATAAACAGCGGACACTGTTTATACGCAGCCCTCACAAACCACACACAGCCAGATAGTTTATCTAACAGTTAGAACCTACATACGAGACTCAACCTTTATAGTCAGAAAAAAATTGCGAATATTTTCTGATATTTTACACATATGATATTATGAATACTGTGATTATAAGTACTTCTGGCGACTAAAAGTGGCTTTTGTCATGATAAAAATAAATCGATTTGGTTTTCCATGTGTTATTCTATCAATATGACAATAGAGACTTGTGCATAAACAACAAAAACACTTGCAGCTGAAAACATTTTAAGAATAGTAGGGCATAATGTTCGAACAATGTTGTCAAAAACATTTGAAGAAGGTTATCACCAAACATTTTCAGAATGTTTCTAGAGAACGTTATCCTACCTTTCAGAAGAACATTCTGGGAACCAAAATAAAATGTCCCGCTGAAAACGTTAGTTGGTCATAATGTTCTAACAATGTTATCAAAAACGTCTTTAGAAGGCTATCAACAAACATTTTAAGAATGTTTTTAAGAGAACGTTATCCCACCTTTCAGAAGAACATTCTGGGAACCAAAATAAAACGTCCCACTGAAAACATTCCTAGAACAATGAATGGTAACATTCTCAGAATGTTTTAGAACCAAAAATGTCTGGCTGGGAACTCACACATGCCACCGCAAACATTAAATATCTGCTTACAGCTTATCATGTATTACGTGCTTGGTTGTTTTTTTCAAAAGTTCTGTAACATTGAGGGAATGTTTTATAAAAGAACATCTATAAAATGTTACCCCAACAACGTCCAAAAAACATCCTCAGAATGTTGTAGGCAAAACTTTTCACTTTTGTTAACATATCACATTGAAGGAACGTTTTATAAAAAAACTTTCCGTCATCTCAGGCCTTAATAACATCCTCAAAACATCCTCTGAATGTTGCAGTTAAAACGTTATGCCTTAGTTAACCTTAAACCTTATAGGAACATTATTTGAACAAATAAACATCCTAAAAAGCTTATTTGAAAATCAGATTAAAACGTTTCTTTAAAACCTTATTAGAACCTGTAGGTAACGTTAGCCAAATTTGTAGGGGAAGTGATCCTTTCACTATTGTCTTATTCCAAAATTCACAACAATTTAAAGTTGCTTTTGGAATCAGATTCAACCAGTGAGGGTCTGGTTCTCCTCTGAACCCCTCCCCCACCGTCTCTGAACAAACTCTGAGGTGAACAACATTTCCCACATCTGCTGTAAATCAAAACCACCGGTGACATCATCCTATTTCTAAATATCCCAAAGAATGAGCTCATTGGTTGGATCTGAGGAATGTACACATCAACTCATTACTCTTTCCAAAACTCATCTGGAGGAGGAGATCAACATGCAGAGTAGTGAGTCATGTCAAAGAGGGCCTTCGCTTTTTCAACAATTCATGCCTTGACGGTAAAAAGGGTTGCGCAAGGCATTTGGCTTTTATTAGGCCTTTTTCGGGGATTTGTAATTACAAAAATGTGTGTACTGGTAAAGTGTAAAGTCGGATCCAGAATCTGAGTCACTTCTCGTGCCAAGAGCAATTACCATGTTGGAATTTACCAGAGTCTTCTTAGTAACATTCAGTCCAATGAACACATTTCTGCAAGGAAACACAAAAATGTGTGAGCTCTGCGTTATTGGAGCACATCTATTGTTCACTTTCTGCAGCGGTCTGAATTCTTGTTTGGAGCTTGCCTTGAATCTGTTACATTCCATACCATATGTGGAGGCCTCACTCGGCTCAAGTGTGCTGTGTCAAGCCCTTTGTTTGCTCAGGCTGTCTGTCTCTCAGTGTCCGCTGCACTGTGCATTTTTGTGCATGTGAACGAATGCACTGCGTTGCCAGTTCATTAGCTACACTTGGCTTCATCTGATTCCATCCAACAGCTCTGCTATAAATCATACTTTTGTAAACCATGCAATGTTCAGTTTATGTTTCACTCTGTCAGAAAAGGGTTTATTTAACTTCACGGTTATTTACTTTCCTTATATATCAAGGACTATGCATAATGGTTGACATTATTATCATGGACAGATTTGGCTAAATTGTTCATTTTTACATGCAGCTTCAAAAAGTGAATGTTAAAGTAAAAAAAAGACTAGCAAGTTTTCCTTTCCTGTAGTGTGTGATATAGGTTTGTGTGCATGTAAATGGTCTGCAAAGGCTAACATCCCAAAGTTCCCTAGAGGGAGTTTCTCTCCCACACACTCCCCCCTGCCTGAAACGCCTCTTTATTTACTTCTATAATTGATATCACTATGTAACACTCGTGCTTCTATTGGCTAGCGCCCCAACAAATTGCACGATGATAGGCTAAGGGCCGATCAATCTCTAAGCAGTTAGCCAATCACAACAGAGCCGGCTAGCTAACCAATCAAAGCAGACTGGGCTCTGGTTTCAAACAGAGGGTGAAAAGAGGTGCTGCAGTATGAGAAAATAAAGCTTTTTGAACATTAAAGCATGTAAACATGTCACAGTAGAGACACTACATACAGATATGAATGTGGAAATGAGCAGAATAGGTCCCCTTTAATTGTATGTGTGCGTGCATGTGGGAATGCAGTCAAACCACAGATTCTTGTGAGCACTTCATTCTGCTTGGCTTTAATCTTTGGCAGTGATGAAACACAGATGTGGTCAGACAAATGTGTCAACTATCAAATGGTAACATCAGTTTTCCTGTTTGGCCTATTAAACATTCTGAAAAGCACCAACGGAAACCATCAAAAATCCATCCTTCCTCCTCTTTTCTTTTATATCTGCCGTGCAATTTCTAAATCTTTGTAATGCTTTGTCCTCCAGGAAATCCTATGAATTTGAGGATCTGCTCCAGTCGTCCACAGAAGGCTGCAGGGCGGACTGGTACGCTCAGTCCAGGCTGGGCCTAACACGCACTTTATCAGAAGAGAATGTCTACGAGGACATAATAGGTAAAAACAATACATACCAACATATATCATTTCTTTGTCATTAACTAAGCAAACCGTCCCAAAACAGTCTGTCGAAAGTCACCTTTTAGACATGTGGTTTCAAAGCGTTCAACTTTATTGTGTAAAACTGAAACCATTGTTGCGTAGTGTATAGGTTAGATGTTGTCCTATTTGCCATACCCTTCATACACTGCATGACCTTGTAGTTTAATTTCTCATATCAGCGTGTGTCATAGCAACAGAGGTGATGAGGAGGCCAAGCTGTCTTTACTCTGCTCAGGTTTTAATTTAGAGCCACGCTGCTTAACTTTTATTAAAAATGATACGGCAAAATGTGACCCACGTTCCTACCTTATTGTCTGCAGCGTTATGCCAACCCCACCTAGAGCCTGCGAGATTTCATAAGGTACAATAGTGGCGTTGTGTGAGGTTGTAGCAGAGGTTGGCTACTGGGGGGGTGCGGGGGGCGCGTGTGAGGCACATTACTGGCAATGGCTTCAATGTGTCTTTGGTTTTTCATCCAAGAGACCAGTAATGAGTAAACGCTTGTTAGCAACAGTCCATTTAACTTTAATTATATCTGAGTGATACCGCAGCTTATTTTGAATTCTTTTTTATAGTTTCCTTCTTTCAGACACGGATCTCTCAGCAGTGTCTCATGGGTAAAGCAACTCAAAGAGCTGTCTACACAAAAAGCAGCTTTGGGAGTTCCTAGATATAGATAGGGATGAAACGTTGTGATATCCTCCCTGGCATGTCATCCATCAACACACAAACCAGGTTCTCGTCAACACGCTTGGAAAACATTCCACATGCCTGACCGTGTTTTCAGAGTGAGAGGAAAGCTACTGTCACCACCAAATGTTTTCAGACACACACATTGATGGATGATCTCAAATCTGCACAGCTGACGGAGAGCACTAACGCACTGAAGAGATAAGTGTGTCACAAGCCGGCAATGTGAAAAACAGCACACTGATCCCTTGTTTTTGTGAAGGGAGAAGGAGCTCCTCCGACTCCTACAGCTCACATCTGGCGGAGGAATTGATAAAGCACAGGAGAAGAGAGACAGATACAAAGGGAGAAACAGGAAAATGAAACGTCCTCACTACTAATCTGCAGGGGAGGACTGGTGGGTAAAGTTAGCATTAGCTCTGCAAGCGTCTTATCACAGTGAAATATGAGCTGGCTACGCAGAGTCTGGAAGTTCTCCATCAGCACATCTGGAGTACGATGGAACTGGCAAAACAAATATAACTGATATGGAAAGACAGCTTTATCAGCATATTGGAAAGACGTTGGAAGCTGTTGTGTAACCAAGGTAACATAGATTTCTTATTTTTATTTTTTTTAATATATTTTCTTTCTTCTGAAGATCCTCCCTCCAAGGAGAATCCCTATGAAGATATAGAGCTGGAGAGAAGTTGCTTGGGAAGCAAATGTGTTTCACCTGCCTCCTCATCTCCTGTCCCCGACACGCCAACTAAGGTACCAATTTGTTGATAAATCAATATAAAAACATTTAGATTTAATTCAAAAATACTTCTGTACTAAAAACAATGTTCTTATGTATCTTTTCCCCTCCCCAGCTCTCCTCCAAACCTGGCTTCTTCAGACAAAATTCAGAACGGCGAAGCTTCAAACTCCTGGAGCTCCGTAAGACCGGTAGGGACACTGGCTTCTCCTCTCCCTCCCGCATCAGCCCCCCCTCCACCCCCAGCAGCCCTGACGACACCCCTTGCCTCTCCGGAGACCCGTGCAATCGCAGAAGGAGGAAAATCCCAAAGGTACGGGAGTCTGAGAGGCATTTTGCTGAGCTCACTCTGCTCTGTCTGTGATTTATGGTGCCGGGAAGTTCAGAGCTGGTCCACTCATGCTGCCGTCTGGGGATGGGAACATTTTCTGACGGATATTTCCTTTGAGAAGTGTGCTGAGAGGAAGGCCTCCCAGAAGCTGTATTGAATTGATTTTATGAAGAGCGTGGCCAATTTTGTTTATTAGCTTTAAGAAGTTAAAGATGGACATTTTTCCCCCCTACTCCCGCAGATGGTGCTGAAAATCAACGGCATCTTCGAGGCACGGAGAGGGAAGAAACGAATGAAGAGGGTGTCTCAGTCGACAGAGTCCAGCTCAGGGAGAGGTGAGTCCGGCCACATAAATATCATTTAATTCACATCGTCTGTTTTTTTTTACTTACTAAAAATGTCCTGCTCTTCAATGCTTCTATCAAGACGGTAACATTTACAGGCAATTTAAATCAGCTTTACACAACTGTCATGTGATGCGGCACTATTCTGTATTCAGCATTGTGACACATGGAGTCCATGATTTGCTGCACTTGAGGTATTTTGATATGGAAGGAAGCCGTTTCGGTTGATGATCCACATAAAAAAAAACACAGTAGTTAAGCAAATCGCGAAACATAAAAGACACACCACCATTGCAATACTAGTAAAAACCCGCACCAACAAACACATGTATTAAGAGTATATTAGTATTAGTTTTAATTAGCATATTAGTTTAAGTTAAAAAGCAAAAATAAATCCTAAATCATACCAAACGACTAAATGTGCAACACGTTCAATTTCAGATGCCGTTAAAATATTTCTAAACTCAACACTTTTAATATCGAACCGTCACCACTTTGTAGATTCTGTGAGGAGGAAGAGGAAGACCAGATGCATTTATTTTTTTATTGTCCATACGTTGCAAGACTGTGGACTGAGATTCAAAATTGGCTTAAGACACTTTATATTGATTTTGCATTTACTCCCTTTGGTCTTTTGTTTGGGCTTTTGGATGAGGACAATACACAGTTGATGAATACAATTATTATTCTGGCAAAAATACTTGTTTTTAAAGCTCAATCAAGGGGAAATCTAAATTTAAGGTGTGTGAAAAGTAGATTAAAAACACAATTTATTTTGGAAAGGATGATTTCCACAAAGAATCAAAGAGTGGCTCAACACACCATGAAATGGGAAACAATCAGCTCTAGCGAAGAGTGGGATAAAAATGAATAATAAATGCTTTTGATGATATTGGACTGTCAACCTATTTTTTTATTTTTTGTTTATGAAATGTTGAAGTGACCAACTGACTGTATTTTATTATTATTTTTTCTGTTTTTTGTTGTTCTCTGAGATAAGAATGTCTCTTTTTGTTATTGTAATGTCCATGTTTTGTGTATGTAGCCTGTACAATAAATAATAAAAAATAAATAAAAAATAAAACTAAAATGTATACACTGATCCCTGAATCACCATCAACACTCTGCAAACACTTTTATTCAGGTTACCTTTACTACAAATCTCAGTTTGACCAGAAAGACTTTACAGGTCTACCCCCATAAAAGGGACGATCACATGTATCCACTTAGTTTTATGGGCAGAGAAACATTCTGTGGTCAGTTGAGAGTGACCCGTGTGTGTGTGAGAGGAGTGTGTGTTGGTGTGTGTTGGAGGCTGTACTGAAAGCAAGGAGGGCAGGTTCCATGTGCTTTTAGTTTCCTGAGATAGTTTTTAGCAGTCTGCTCACACTCTGTTTTCCTTTGTCCATTCAGTGACGGATGAAAACAGCGAGTCGGAAAGTGACACAGAGGAGAAACTACAAGGTGAGGACAGAAAATGTATACTTACCCACAGTATTGTGCGCTTAATTGATGCTAAGCTGTGTAGATATTAAATAGTTGTGTTGACACAGCTGCAGATGTACATGGTGGCCTCACGCTGACCCTCTGTCCATTTCGTGTTTATGTGTGGAAACATGCCATGGATGTATTTGCATAATATGTGTCTCTCTTGTCCTCAGCTCACAGCCAGCGCCTGGTGTCGGTCCTGTCCATGCTGAGGCAGACGGGCCGGTACCGGACCTTGGAGAGGGATCTGATGGAGCTGCAGGAGAGGAACCTCTTTGAATATTTTATAGTTGTTGCGCTCCATAAGACCAAGGCTGGAGTCCCATACCTGCCTGAAGTCACACAGCAGTTCCCTCTCAAGGTAAACAGGGAGAGGCATTTTAGCTGTTGCAAAGTAAGACACCTGAAATGATGTTGGAAGAAGGAGACATTATTGTAGATATTATTATCTAAAGAAATGTCAAGTTTCCCGACAGACCAAAGGCAATAATTCAAACTATGGTTTATGAGCACCTGGTTTGAACTCTTCTGGGAAAAGAAAAAGGGATTTTCTTTGATTCTTGGAACAGCAACAGCAGGTTTCATGCAGTAAAAAAAGAAATAGCCTCATATATTTAGAGCAGTGTGACTGTTGTGCTACTGACTAAAAAAGATGTAAAATAACTTCAATTTCATCACAACTTTCAGTTTCAGCTTCTTAACAGTGATGTTATCCAGTATGTGCAAGACTCCTCAATATTGTGGTTTCAACAATGTCATTAAGCATTATCTTATCACATTGAATTACCTTTGGCTCTAACTTAAACAACGACACTACAATATTATGATAATGAACATTAAGGATTAGGAAAAGATTAATATTGTTTTGGCATTAGAACAATCTGCACTTTCAGTGTTTTTTTCTTATCTAATTTCTGTATACAGATGTTTCTGTTTAAGATTGACCTCAGTTCAATATTAGACAGCAAGTTAAACAGAAAGATATCTGTCTGTGTGTGAGTGTGAAACATGAGAGTTTAAGACTTAAATAGTATTATACTTCAGGTTTCTTTGAATATACTCCTTTTCACATTTCCTCTCTTTTTTCCATCCAGCTTGAGAGGAGCTTTAAGTTTATGCGGGAGACGGAGGACCAGCTGAAGGTTATCCCTCAGTTCTGTTTTCCTGACGCCAAAGACTGGGCGCCTGTCGACAACTTCCCCAGGTCAGTCCCAGTCCCCACAAATAAAAAGAGTGAAACAAAACAGGGACGCAGGAACTTCCCGGCACAGTGTTAATAACTCAGCTGTTGCTAATAGCCACTTGTTAGAGAAGAAGCTGAAAGCCCAAAATACTAAATGACCTCTTGGCTTGTAAAGAAGTCTGTTCCTTCTTTAATGATTAGGTGCTGATGGTAGCAAATGATTACAGGGAGAGAGGGTGGGTTTAGCACCTTACACCTGGTTTGTTATTACAGAATCCGCCCTCTTTGTGTAATGTTAAAAAGTGTCTATATTACCCAATACCTCCTAGCTTAGCCTCTCAACATGTGCATTGTTCAGAGAGGTGATGAAGTGTGTCCTGGCTAATAATTACCTGGAGGCAAATGTTCGATGAGTGGGGGGGGTGGGGGGGGCACCAAACACACACCTGCATTGAACTTGCTGACACTGTAGCCTGTCAGGAAGGTCGTCATCCGTCAATAAGTACCTGTCAGGCAGAGAGATAAGGGAGATTTGTGTGGAGACTTTGTGGTGTAATAAGCCTGTCCCGAGGCTCTTCCCTCCCAAGTACAAAGTCATACCCTTGTTTGCCTAAAAACAAAGTCATGTTCAAGAGTTTCTGTTTCAGTCTTTTCTGCACAATTTCAACAGCTATACATATTTCCAGCAAGTTTGAATCACTTTTGTTTTGTCTTTTATTTCCAGCGAGACATTCTCATTCGTCCTGACGGGTGAGGATGGAAGCAGGCGGTTTGGCTACTGTCGGCGATTATTGGTATGTTATTGGTATATGGTGTGCTCTTATAATGCTTCTAGATAATCCTTCATTACTTATTCATACTTACATCCTTCACATGCTCATCCAAATTCTGATGGCACTTTCACCCTTTTCTTTTTGTTGTTTTTATTGTGCAATGTAAAGTATTTCCCACATATTTAAGTGAAAGTCTACAAAGTCTCTGCCAAACAAAGGCTTTGCTTTGCTCCAGTTGTCTAATCCGTGTGGTTATACTTGGGTGAGCAGTCTTGTGACACCGCGGGGTTTTGAAGCTGTCTTTTTCCTGTTCACAGCCCAGTGGTAAAGGCCGGAGGCTTCCTGAGGTCTACTGCATCGTCAGCCGCCTGGGCTGCTTCGACCTTTTCTCCAAGGTAGATATACTGCGCTCAGCATAAACAGAAGTTTGCCCAGGATCACGTGTTATACCAGTGGTGTCCAAAATACCGCCTGGGGGCCAAATGCGGCCCGTGGGCCATTTTGAATCGGCCCTTAGCAAATAAAAAAAGTATAATGGAATATGGCCCATAAATGAAAATGGTGCTTCTCTTATATTTTACTTCTTAAATATATATGTAAACATATATTACACAGTAGTATTCATGTGTTATAAGCCATCTTTTCAAATAAATTCAGTCTACTAAAGTTGAAAACATTTTCTACCAAATCATAGCTTATTTACATAACAAGCTTGAAATGTACCCTTCATATTTCTCCTTATAATCAATCCGAGGCTTCTCTTTTAAGGAATGAGCTGCCAACAAAATGAACGAAATCTCATGGAAAGCTGTGATGTAGGCAATTATTTTCTTAAGGCATTTTCAAGAATCAAGCATAATTTACCTACATTTGATTGATTTTGCTGACTTATAACTTAACTTATGACGCAATATACCTCATCTCTAGTAAGGGGCCCAGCCCTTATTATATTTTTCTGTATGTGGCCCTCAGTGAAAAAAGTTTGGACACCCCTGTGTTATACCATACCATACCAAAGCATACATACAACCCCACCCCCACTAGAAGAGTACAGAGCCTCCACCCTCGGTGCCCGCAGAGCCCCACCCACCCTCTGCAGGCTCTTCTTTCCCACAGAGCGGTGCAGTGCTGGCTGCAGTACAGACGCACATGTGAAGTGCAGCTGATGTGGTTACCGCAGTGGAAAAAGGTTCCCTGTATTGGGCCTTAGATTTATATACATGTGTTCTTATAGATGTGCCGTGTACATGTGTGAATGCTAAAAGTGGGCTTGTAAGGAGAAGGGTAACTAACTACAGTCTACATTCATACTCTGCATTGGAAGTACTCCTTGCTGATGATGTTCTGAATGTGTTTCATCTGTATCAGATCAGCTTCATTAAAGTGTAATGCTATACAGATGTGTACTCTATGCATGTAGAGGAGTACACATGATGGTTTCAGGCTGTTTTTTGTTTTTAATTTGGGACGTTGTACTCCACTGTATCAGTAAGACGAAAAAATGATATATACAAATTGAATTAAAGCCATAAAGAATGGCAATAAAGTTGAGTCGTATCAAGTTTAAATCATCCCCCAAATCTAAAATAGAAATATTTAAATAACACAAAAAGTTGTCATCTGTAGACTCATACATATTTGTCCTTTCCCTGTGTTCTGCAGATCCTGGATGAAGTGGAGAAGAGGAGGGCTATCTCCCCGGCTCTGGTGCAGCCTTTCATGAGAGGCATAATGGAGGCTCCCTTCCCCGCTCCAGGAAGAACCATCACTGTCAAAAACTTCCTACCTGGCTCTGGGACAGAGGTTTGTTTGTTTTTATTATTAAGGGAATATGAAGGAGGATTGCCTAAAGCTCCAGGGGCTTGGAAAGGGACATTCTCCAGGCAGCACATCAAATTACATTCCAGCATTGTAAAATACACCAAATTGTATCTATCTAATAATAATGGAACCTGTGGGATGATGGTGGTGTCTCAGTGGAAAACCAGTCGTTTTTTCCCCTTCTCTTTTGGGCAAAACCCATATGCAATAAAGATTATCTAAATAGTCATACTAGTGATTTAATGTGTATGTACGTAAGTATCTAATATAATTTTTTATCTCCCTTTCCTACAGGTGATAGAGCTGTGTAGGCCTTCAGATTCTCGACTGGAACATGTGGACTTTGAATGTCTCTTTTCCTCCTTGAGTCTACGTCTCCTTCTCCGAGTGTTTGCCTCTCTGCTTCTGGAGCGCAGGGTCATCTTCACTGCCGACAAACTCAGGTTGGCTCCAGCAGCAAATATTGTGATACCCAGCAGGGTGTTTATTCTGCTTTCCGACCTATAGATGACATTTCCAAGCGCAACAGGCATATCGTTTAATACATCTCCTGCGATTGAATTATCACTGGAAGTGTTTTGATGCTGAGAAAGACCAATAGTATAGAGTTTGAAGGACGTGACAGAGAGACCTCAAGTCGACAAACAGTCTTAGGAAAAGAAGATCCCGACCGAGTGTGAGAGGAAGGAATGCTGTTATGTTATACAGTCGCCTGGGGAACAATCACTTCTTCTCTGGAAAACTGTCATGGACGCCAGATAGAAGGAGCTAGGCTTCAGAGCTTACACGTGTTCACATCGACGTCATCACACCCACACTGTCCACGTAAAAACTTTAAGTATTGCAGTACACTGTGTTCAAGCAGAATCAGTTCAGATATAGGTTAAGATGTTCTGTGTATCTCATACATACATCTCGTACTGCTGTTTGAAAGGTAGCATAAAGAGAATTTCTCACCAGAGCTCACAAGCAGATCACGAGTCGTTTGCACATTCTCTACTGTGCTGTGGAAACTTGGCCCCATCAATCAATTCTTTAATGAATTAACTGTGAGCAGATGCACACCCGGGAGACATTAAGTCAGCAGCGGGGGGTGAGTGTGTTTGCTGCCGCTGTTTAGTTTTTATAAGTGTTACATCACGCTCCCCGAAGAGATGCTTTTTAACATTTCTCTCAGGGTAACAACGGGTTTGTTGGAGCAAAAAGAAATGAAGTTTTAACATAATGTTCCAAATTAAGAAACGATGGCAGGAAAGATTTAGTTCCTAGAGGAGTGGGTTAGCACCATCTTGTGGCAGAGACTAGCCTTTAGTATTTTAGATTGTTAAAAGATAACACACAGACATTATAAACGGCCTTCAGGGATGTGCTTTTCGCTTTTTTGTAGATTTTTGAGGCTTTCTATACTGTGCTTTTTTACATGTTAAGTACAATGTTACCTCTTGTTGACCAGTGTCTTAAAATCAAAGATCAAGAAATACTCTCTATTTTGTATCACTATTACTCTCTTGACCTGCTATACTTAATATCCACAGCTGACTGCAATACGTTCCCTATAGCAAGGTGCTAGATTGTGCCTGCACATTAAACAATACTAAACTGTACATTATATTTATGCTACGTTACAATACAGGGGTATGAGATAACATCATACTACTGTACCATGATAAATCAGGATAGGGTTAATAGTTCATTCTTGACAGTAGAAGCAGAAGTTGACAATCTCACAACAACGTCGTTTTAAGTGGTTATTTTTGCCATACTGTCCTTATCAGATTAATTTGAGTTGCCATGACATTGTAGATATTAACATTTTATTTTTGATTACCCTTTAAGGACCTGTTGTATATGTTAGCTTAAATACTGCGTCTGACATGCAACAAATGATACATTCAAAAGCTACTGAATAGCTACATTATGGTTTAACGATTTAAAAACTTCCATTATTACATGTTCTGCTGAAAGTCGATATACAGTACTCTTTGTAGTTTAATTCACAGTTGTTTAAAGGTTTGTCTTATGTTCTTTCAAACATAGTTTTTTTGATGCCATTCTGTATTACCTCCCAATGATTTGTCGTTGTTGAATAAACATTTATCTTTTCCTTTCCCTCTCTTTTTCTCCGCAGCACATTGTCTCAGTGTTGCCATGCAGTAGTGGCTCTACTCTACCCCTTCACCTGGCAGCACACGTACATCCCCGTGCTCCCACCCTCCATGTTGGATATTGTCTGCACCCCGACCCCCTTTATAGTCGGCCTCCTCTCCAGCTCCCTGCCTCGACTCAAAGAGCTGCCCATCGAAGAGGTGCGATGATTATCCTTTGTTGGTGAAGTACTGACTGCAGTGCCCTTGATTCTGGGGCTTTCCTCCTCTTAACAATAGCTCCAGGAAATGACTTCACTCTCCCTCTGCTCTTCCCTCAGGTCCTGGTGGTCGACCTAGGGAACAGTCGCTTCCTACGACAGGTAGAAAAATAAGGAAAACTGTGAAAATTAAATATATATATATAATATATAATAATATAATAATAATATTATAATAATTAAAAGACATCTGAAACCAATGTGTCACAAAAGAAATAATGAAAGATTTCACCTGGGATGGAAACAAAATATTATCAAATACGTCTTAAAATTCAATTACTAAATGTAACAATAAACCCCTTATACCCCTCCTGGAAACATTGTCCTCCAAACCATAGAGACCATGTTTCCCAAATAAGATACTTCAGAGTACCCATCTATCAGAAATACGCTGTATTAAACATTCTGCTATAACAGTGGTTCTACCAGATGTTATGTAAGATATGTTGATTGACTGCAGAATGTTTACTGTGTTAACATCTGTGTCTTCACTTCACAGCTGGATGATGAGGACACCATTCTTCCCCACAAGCTGCAGGCGGCTCTGGAGCATGTGCTGGACAAGAGGAAGGAGCTGGCCTGTGATAAAGGAGATCTGCCCAATGGTGAATAATGGTGTAAAAGGCACACTAATAACAAGGCTAAGAGACACTGTCTTTTTATGTATGCAGACAACTTATGTATTTCTGAGTGAGTATTAGAAGTACCAAATACAGTGCTGTCAAATGATCAAGACTAAGGAAGAAATAATCTTTTCAGAATTTCTTTATTTTTTTTTGCTGTCTAATCTTGTTTTTGTGGCGTTCAAGTGCTTAATATCATGGTTTTCAAAGAGTGTAATGTAATTTGTAAAAATAAAAGTGATTTGTATGAGTAGGGGAGTATCTGTGAGTTTCCAGTCAATAGGGAGTTTATTTTATTACTTGCTGAGTAAGACGTTTCATTTTAAATGACTTGGCAAAATAGTCTTTGAGTAATTGCTATTGATCAATCTTTGGCAGATACTGGATGTAGTCATCATTTTTTTTGTATACGTCAGTGAATATGTTGTGATTTAATCTTTTCAAATTCATTTATCATCACCTCCACTCAGACTCCAGCTCCCTCAGCACGGTGGTGTCGGAGGCCTTTGTGCGTTTCTTTGTGGAGATGGTGGGTCACTACTCCCTCTTCATGGGAGGAGGAGAACGGGATGAAGAGTCTGTCTCCTCCCCAACTTTGCCCAGCCCCTCTTCTTCCCCCTCCTCGTCCTTTCAGCGTGAACAATTTCGCAAAGCGGTCACGTCCAAGAGCTTGAAAAGGTTCCTGGAGGTGTTCATGGAGACCCAGATGTTCACTGGCTTCATCCAGGAGAGGGAGCTGCGCAGGCAGGGCCTCAGAGGTACTGATGTTACATCACCTGCAGTAGTGTTACAGTACAGGTTATTATAGTTAAAGTATAGATATTTGTTATAAACTAATACCTATTGTATGTTAATATGAGCAAAAGTTGTATCTGTCTTTTTAATAACTATTCAACTTTGATCAAGTTTTCTTTTTCTAGGGATCAGTTCCTTGAAATTGTCTCAATTTAGTTGTAATACGTAGTGTATTGTTCTGGAGCCTTCAATCACATTACATGGTCTTCCTCAGCAAACGTTTTAATGGAACCGTAGATATTTAAACTTTCAATGGAAAATAAACGAAGAGAATGCACAAAATAAACAAAATGGGGAGCCACACTAGCCACTAGAACAGTGGTCTAAAACTCCATAACTTGTATTTGATGATGACGACACTCAAAAGCTCCAGAACAAGTGAGGGAGGAGCAAGGATCTACAGTAGTTATAGTTTTGAATGTTCCTTGGTCAACTTGAAATACATTTCCGATCCGTCTTAGTTTGTCATTTCTTATGTCAACATGTATTGAAAATTCAAAATACTTGCATTCGACCTGTATAGATTCTTGACCTGTAATATTCACCTTTTAAATTTATTTTGATTTACAGGTTTATTTGAGGTGAGAGCACAGGAGTATCTCGACTCACTGCCGGGGAGCGAGCAGCGAGGAGTCAACAAGTTCCTCAAGGGTCTAGGTAACATTTACTCTATAGCTTCAATGTATTGCAGACAGTTAACATATACAGTGCAACTGATTTTGGGTATGTTTCTGTTAAGTTTAAATCACATCTGTTCTTATTTTTCAGGAAACAAGATGAAGTTCCTTTCAAAGAAATGATGCTTGGAGTGTGAATGTCATGTGTTAAAGTAGAAAAAAGGCAGGAAGAGACAATGCTTTAAAAAAGAAAAAGAAAGTCCCTGGACGTGGAGGATGAGGAGAGGAAGAAGTGTCTGTGGGGCAAAACAAAGGAAGACCCTTGAAGTGAACTGGACTCATACATTGTGAACATGAGGAAATGTGGGTAAACTTAGGGTTCCATGTGTCGTTCCATAAGTGTTGTGAAGGGTTTACTCAACGTGGACCAAAACTCCCTTCCAACACCATAAGGCAATGTCTAAGAGTGTCTCTCTAGACCTTTGCCTGGGTTTTCTGTCAACGTCAATCCCTGCAGTGTGTCACTGTTTAGCAAAGCAAAGTGTAAATGTTGTTATGAACATTGTTCTCCCTTTCTCGGTCAATAACCCGACCTATAGTATAAACCTGCATGAGGAAGTGTCACTAAAGGTCCCATTTTGTACATACCTTCCTTTACATTCCAAGTATTTTATATAGAAGTTTTTTTAAATACAATAGTACAACTTCTTCACCAACAGGAGGCTTTTAAGTTAATTTATATTATTCTTAGATCAACTTAATCTCTTTTTTTAAATGTCCTTCAAATGAGTGCAAGAAACACTCCTGTAGTTTGTACAGTAATAGGCTTTATTTAACAGAGTCTACTCCAGACTGTTTGTAGACCACTTTGGGTTGTTGGGTAAATGTACCACTGTTTTAAGTAAATTAATTTTTAATGGAAAAGGAATGAGCACCAAGAGGAGGAACATTTAAAGAAGGAAATCAATGTGAATGCATCTCTCACTTGGGTTTGAGTACATGGTTTGAATAGACTTGATGTTGAAGGAAGATGTGTATCTTAGGCCAATCAGAATCAAAGTATTTTACTAGGTTTCAAACTTGATTGCAATTAAACTTTTTAAATAAAGTTATTTGAATGTTTTGAATTACACATGTCTTTCTGTATTTGTTTTCCTTGTAGCATACAGTTAAAGTGAGGCCATGCCCATGTACATGTAGTTGTTGCTGGTGAACCATAGTGAGTTTACTTCTTGAAGCCTACATTTCCCATAATGCAACGCAACAGTATCTCCATGGGTTCGTTTATTGGGCCTTTACGAATTGTAGTCTACAAGACAATAGGCATTTTGACTTGTCATAGTAGGAAAAGGACAGATAATTGTAAATCAGCTACCATTCATTTACATTTTTGCTTGTAAAGGTCAAAATGTTGTCTGTGAAAAATAAGTACGTTTTTATAGGAGTAATTGCTACAATAAATTATACATCACAGATTGAGTAGTTCTCTCTGCCACTAGTACATTGACTTTGACATGTAAAATCAGTGGTGTTCCTTTATGTGCTCAAAACACTTAAGTCCCTTCAACTCCAGAGGGCGCTGTCCCCATCTCCAATGTGAGTAAAATACAACAGAGAAAATTAGAATACAAAAACAGTTTGAAGGTACAAACATAAACTACATGTTAGCATAATTACTTTACACCTAATGTCACACAGCTACATCATCACTGGTGCGGCACATTAGCTAATTCGTTAGATTGGAATCAACTGTGGGTCATGAACGAGTCCTCATTGAATGCTGTACAAATGCACCTGTGTCACAAGGCCCAGCTTTCGATGGGTGAGTATCGTTGGAAAAAATCAAACACCATGAAGTCGAAGGGAGACTCCAAGCAACTTAGTGAAGAGATGATAGAGAAAAACAAGTCAGAGGATGAAAACGAGCTCTTTTCCGATGCACTAAATTACATCCACTGGAGTAAATTCATCCGTGTTTTAGAAATGGAAGGAGTGTGGCACTGTTGGGAATTTCAATTGAACAAGGAAGTATCTCCATCTGAGCACAACGGCGAATTTCAACAACTGGTAAGTCTAAAATAATTGTTTGTGTGATAAATGTGGTTCACTGGCACGTAGCTGCTGTCTTTTTTTAAACAAAGATGATACATCGATTCTTAATGTGTAGAAAAGTGTGTTGTGTCGAAGTGATGTTAGCATGAACCAGCAGCATGTCATACTCACAGTGTCCACTGGAGGTCTCTGTTATCCACATGTACTCATGTGTTGCCTCACCACAGTCTAAAGCTCAGAATCACATCTCAGATCAGCTCTAATGACTTGCACAACACGCCCATGTAAAGAAGCAGTTATATTGCTTTCACCAGCTGGAGAATAAAAGCAAAATGTGTTTGAAAACTGGGACTCCAATGAGTCACAGGGGGAATCTCTTCAAACATTGCAATATAAACTAATTAAATAAAGTGTAAACTAAATGATATCTTCTCCTTAACTAAAACACATGACAATAGTATTTTCTCTACAGGGAGAGTACAACAATTGTTTTTTCTATAGTCAATATAATGTGTTATAGCCGGGCATACAAAAATTAATTTGAGAACATTAAGCCCAACAAAAACGCTATAAACTGGCATGATCTGCTGGAGAAAGTTGTTGTGAATAAAACAAAAAAAGCATTAAATATGAACTCAAATTATTGCTCATATGCAACAAATTCTTTAGTCAGATTATCTTGTTCCTTTTTTGTCTTTCTAGGTAACAATACCAAAAGAAATACCCTACATCTTTCAAATTGTATTACACTATTATCTGGACAAACTTGGATAGTTGTTCATTTTAAACCTAGATAAAGTTCAATAGACTTAATTCTAACATGAGGATAAAAAGGTCAAAGCAAGGCTTATAATTATGTATTTTATACAGTATATAACATCCGGACAACAGTCTTTTGTCACCCATTTCAAGTCATTATGAAGAAGTTGTTTTCTTATTATCCTGTTTGTCCCTCTCATAAAAGCAGTGGCTTTTACAGTCATACTTTATTCTTGATATTTCCTTCGCACTCCCCCCTCTCACGACCCTTTGCTTTCCTTTCCTTTTTGGAGCCCTCCTCCCCTCCTCTCCTCCCCCTCGTCATTACGTGTTGACCGGTCAGACCTCCCTCCCTCACCTCCCCTCCTTCTCTCCCTCCCTTGGTCTTTTCTCTGGCTTTTTCCAGGCTTCATGTCATACCACGGCTAATTCCTGAAATTCCTGCCCTCCTCTCGCTTCAAACAAGCGGCTTCAGGAAGGAGACTAGGCAGCAGAAAACAATCAAAACAATAGAAAAGCATTAGACTGAGTTATTCTTAATAAAAAAAAACTAATTATTGTTCTACCTGCGTGTGTATCAGTCCGCTGACAGTCCTCCCAGGTAAGCTCAACAAGTGTTTTCTAATATTCAAAGTGCTGCTCATGTTCACTTTTAAACCGCGTCTTCTGCCGGAGTGTAAACTTTCAGTTTGTAGAATATCTGGGTTGTGAGTATTTCACGCTTTCTCTCTCAACGCTTCTCTCTCACTGACGGAAATAACATTCCTCAAATATCTGGCATTTCTTCGCCCAAATTCCTGCATTTTTTGTCTTTAATTCCAGCACTGCAGTGTGTGCTGTAACTTCCTGTGCGTGCAGCCGGAACTTTTCTTGTGTTTTTGAAGGAATAACGTCACAGAAGTGCAGTCAAACATTAGCGTCTGTCCGGGTAAAGTTTGACATCTGCAAAGCTGGGGAAATTCAACTGTTTATTATTAACTTCCCAAGTGTGTGCAGTGTTACCGTTATTGTTACGCTTTATATTTGATGTCATGATTTATTTGTCTTTTTCGATAATTAGAATAACTGTGTTTTAAAGACGTAGTCTAACGTAGTCTTTTTCTCGAGTACAAAGTAATTAGAGCACAATATGAAAATACTTTGTCAAATGTACTGGATTTGAAAATTGAAGTAATACCAGCAAAATTGACTTAACTTTTAAAAGTAGGCTATACTCAGCATGCTGGTAAATGGTCTGTCAGAATTGTTATTACATTAGGCACATCATTTCATTATTGTTAACATGTTGTGGTTGATAATTGCTGTTTTATATAATGTAATCTCTTACATTATTTTAAATCACACTAAATAGCTTCAGCTGTCAGATACAATGTGCACTAAAAAGTTGAGTTCCCTTGTTAATATATACAGCGGTGTAGAAGTGTACAGAATCAGGACAGAAGTGGAGGATGCAAGAAATGAAAATGGACAAGCAAAGTATAAGTTCTGATGAATTCTACTTCACTTAAAGTAAAGTTGAGTAAGCCTTTGTCATCAGCAAAATAAAGCTTAAAAAAGTCAAAGCAAAAGTCCTTTTCCAAAACATTATACTGTTATCCTGAATGTGTCCTTTGATTACTAGTTTAATTCATTAATTAGTATTAAGATATTGTTGATTTGAACTGGAGCTCATTTGAAGTCACTGGTATTAGCACTTGAGTATTTTCTTTTAACAACATTTTAGAGAGAAAATCCCCTACACTTGACAGCAGATTCGTATTTTACATGAGGAACGTGATCATCTTCGAAAATATGATTAGAAATGAGATACCTCAACCAAGGCACAGCTTTCACTGTTCAGCAACAATCAACCATATGAAGTAATTGTAATATATAAGATGTAATATAACACTGACTGGGGTCATTCAGCTGCATAATGGGAACATTTACTGCTTTCACTTCAGCAAGGTTCGGCATTATTCGGTAACTGTAATATCTCTCGTGTTTCTGCTACTTTAGTAAAACAAACTCAACTGGAATTAAGACACACTGTAAGTGGTGCTATGAGGTGTTTCTTCATTCAAGTCATACCGTTTTTCAAAAAGAAAGATATAAAAAGTTAACTTAAGATAAATGTAGGAAGGATTTTATAGGCTGGTAATCCACAATTAAATAAACTTAAATTGTTGATCTACGATTTAGGCATATCTTGTACATGTGCAGCATTTCAGGCAGTTTTTTAAAAATAATTTGCAGAGTAACCTGATAATCCTGTTTTGTGAAATACCCCAAGAACAGCTCATAAATTGGAGAAAAAAATTCAAATAATTCAAATGTACTATTCAATAATGTGCAGATTATTTTTTTTAACAATGACTGAGTGAAGAGTCTATACAATGTCAGAAAATAGAGAACACCCACCCATTACTAGTTTCCAAAGCCAATGTGATTTATTTAAAAATGGAAAAGCATAGGTTTGTGAAACCAACCGTCTAAAATCCTTATATATTCAGATTACTATCATAGAGGTGAGGAACACCAGCAAACATTTGAGGAGCTGAAACCAGTGGGATTTTGAGAATATTGCTTGACATTACTGTTAGACTACTTGTGAGATCAAAATGATACTCAACTTTACAAAATGAACTGTATCTATTGTGTAAATACCGCGTGTGCTCGCCATGCTTTGTTGCACTACTCTGTAGCATTTCAGAGCTGTGCAGGCCGTGTGTGAGTGAATATCTTCGGTCAGGGTTCGATATGACTAACACAGGGCCTGCCAGGATGTGTGCGTGTGTGTTATGGTGTCCCGCAGGGCAGCTGAGGAGTGTGTTTTCCAGAGGGGCAACAGGTGGATTGGAGCATGGTGACAGCGTGACAAGGGGGTGGGGGGCGCGGGGGGGTCAGAAACACACCTGTCGAAGCCTCCTCTGAAGTGTCTGACAGCCAGAGGAGTTTGTGTTTTTTCAAGGCCTTGGCCCTTTTTGTTTTTCAGTGCGTTGGGTTCACTATTGTCTCAGATGAGTTATATCGTAACGTGAACTCTTGTATCGTATGCACTGCAGTAGCGTGTGTGTGTGGGTGGGTGGCTGCGACTGGGCCTAGAGGTGTGTATTTGTGTGGGAGAATGAGTGGGACAAGTAAGGAGGGAGGTACAAAAAAAGGTATGAAAAGGTGTGTGTGAGCAAGCATTTCATTTTGTTGTGTTTCAACCTTGTGTGTGGAGTTGCCCTGAGACAGGTCCCACAGTGCAGGGTTTTTTTCTGCTGTGCTCATCCCACATAGTGATCATTCCTCCTCCGCTCGCACGAGAGAAACGCATAATGCCTCAGATATGAGC